CACGGCTGCCCCCGGCTACACTGCCCATGTTTTTCTCCCCACACTGCTCCGTTTTCTGTGTCCCACCTTGATACTCCCACTCTTGTTCTGGTATTAGCTGATGTCCACTGAATGTCATCTCCCCGGTCCCAGTCCCTTCCCTGCGCTGGCAGAGGTGGAGACCTGCCATCTTTACCCACAGAGGCTTTCTGGGCTAGTACTCAGCCAAAACCTATAGAATCATCAAATGTTGTGAGCTGGAAGGGACCCACCAGGATGCTGGAGTCCAACTCCTGTCCCTGCACAGGACAATCCCAACATTCACACCATGTCCCTGAGGGCCTTGGCCAAATGCTGCTGGAATCTTGTCAGGCTTGGTGCCATCAGCACCTCCCTGGGGAGCCTGTTCCAGGGCTCCACCACCCTCTGCCTCAAGAACCTTTTCCTCATGGCCAACCTCACCCTCCCTTGCCACATCTTCATGCCATGTCCTCTGCTCCTGGCATTCGCTGGTGGCCAGAGAGAAGAGATCAGCGCCTGCCCCTCCTCTTCCCCTTGGGAGGAAGTTCTAGACCCCCAGGAGATCTCCTCTCAGTCTCCTCTTCTCCAGGCTGAACAAACCCAGTGCCTTCAGCCTCTCCTCACACCCTTCCCCTCTAAACCCCTCACCAGTTTAGTGGCCTCTCTTGGTACGAGAAGATCGGAGAACATATGGGAAGGTTGTCCCTGTTTGGACTTTTGAAAGGTTAGCAGTAAACAACAGTAATTTATGCTGCTTGCAAATTCCATTTGCAGCTTTTAGTTTAATCTCTTCAAATCTTTGATGTAACACTAAAGGTGCTTATAAACCCGATAGAGGGGTTTTTAGAGTACAGAGCTAGACAGGAGATAAACTGGGTTCTAGGCATAAGGAATCTGTTCTTTTTTATTTTTATTTCAGTGGGACTTAGAATTCAGGAGATATATTTCAGGATATACATTCCAGGATTTAATTAATCCCTTGGGTCCCAATTATGCTCTGATTTACAGTCCACGTAATTCCACTAAATCAGGGCTCCTACTCCACTCCCTTCCCTCCACTCGTGGGGGCTCAGTGGCTGCCCCACGCAGGGCGTGCTCCGTGCAAGCTCCGAGGGGCTGCAGAGTGGACGGGCACTGGCGGGGGGTCCCTTCCCACCCAACGCCTGACTCCTCGCTCCTCTTCCACCCGCAGTGCGGCAGGACCCCACGCTGGGAGGCAGCGAGACCTTCAACAGCTTCCTGCGCAAGGCTCAGCAGGTGAGGAGGGGGCAGGAACTGCGGGAGGGGGTGGGCTGCTGCGGGGCGCACTGGCGGGCCTCGGGCAGTCTGAACAGGGGGAGAGTGGTTGGCGGTGGGAGGAGGCACTGGGGTGCCAATCCTCTTTCTCTCTCCAGGAGACGCAGCAGATACCCACAGAGGAGGTGGTGCTGGAAGTGCTGCTCTCCAATGGCCAGAAGGTCAAGGTCACCATCCTTACCTCGGACCAGACGGAGGATGT